ATATGTTTTATAAATCTATAATTAGTGGCATTTTTGTAAATGGGCACCCCTAAGTGGCATTCTTGCAAATATGCACACAAAAAATGTCATTTTTGTAATTGTCATATTATTTAATGTCTTATCAATTAATATATAGAAGATTAGGTAACTAGGTGCATGAAAAAATTATATTCTCTCTGTTTCAAAATATAGGTTGTTTTACTTAAAAACACGTATATTAAGAAAATAATTTTCTACTAAAAACTATCATTTAATATTTATAATAAAAATAATTTGATCAATCACATAAAAGACTGTAAAATATTAGTGGTCATATAATATTTAATAAAATTAAAAAATACCTGGTATTATCAAAACAACTTATATTTTAAAAGAAAAAAGAATTATTCAAATAATTTATATTTTGAAACGGAGAGAATACGTAGAAATTAGAAATCTTTTTTCAGTGCTATAATATTGAGAAATTAAGTGTTTCGAGATGGTCAAACTGGATGGCTAATTTATCAAGAAAAGCAAATTCGCCTAACATTAAATTAAATATAAAAGAGTCAAATATTTGATACCTTATCAAATAGTACTAACTATTGTCTCCATTACTTTTTTTTAATAATTTTCTTTAATTAGTATATGATTAAACAAAACCATGCTTGTTGAAGAAAAAGACATGGTTACTAGCTAAACGTACTAGTCAATTAGCACTCTCTGCGGAATCGTGAAGGATATCTTAACTTATTTAGGAATTTTTGTTCATTGAACATCAGTCTTAAGAACCTGTTTGATCCACCATGTTAGTTGTAAGTCTATAAGGTTGACTATGCTGGTCCCCTTTAACTTTCATCGTTCTATTCCAATCATCCTAGATTTTTGACCTCTCTACTTTTTTCTTTTTAAAAGTATATATTTTTATATTTTCTCCTAAACTATTTAAACTCTTCAAAATTTCCAAAATCGAGATTGCGTTTCATTAACCGAGTATTAACCGATATTCGTCTAACTTAATCGCGTTTACAATAACTTTAATTTAGCTAAAATTTGAATCTTACCCTTATTTAAAATCCTTATTTTTTCACAGAGAGTGTTACAATACGGGTTATATATCAAACATGATTATGAACCAAATTAATCTAAACGGTATTTTTTGAAATACAATTTTCGGTTAATTAAACGAAATCAATGGTTTAACTCAATTTGAGAAATTTTGAAGAATTTAAATAGTTTGGTGAAAAATATGAAGAGATATACTTTATAAGCGGGAGAAATAGAAAGATCAAAAATCTAGGAGATCAGAACGGAACGAAGAAAGTTGAGGGGGACCAACGCAGCCAACCCAAACCTATAAGGTCGATCAAACCAAATTTGTAACGTCCAAATTGTCTGCAGCGGTCTAGTCTATATACATAATACGCGATATTTACATAATAAGTCTAGTCACGCAATAATACTTTGCTTTTATATTATTTATTTTTTGGGAGTTTACTTCTAAATTACCGAGTCCGAGTGTGTCATTCTAATATTCTAAGAGGAATTACTATCACTATAGTTTTATTTATAAAGAAAAACACACTATAAATTCCATACATATATTATATATGCATAGCATAGCACAAACGATATTTCTCGTTACGTGTATATACTATGGTTTCGAATGGTGACAGCGGTTTAGGCGGTGCAGGACAAGCGGTTTAAGAGGTGCGGTACGGTTTAAGTACGGTGCGGAAAATAGCGGTTTAAGA